ATATTTGCAAAGAAGAGTCCTTGTTTAGGACAGGAATTTATTGGAGATCTATTAGGTAAAGAAGAGGCAGGTAGTTAACTTTCTGCACTTTGGGATGTGGGAACCACTTCTGCATTCCGTGTTGCTTCCAGGATTGCTCTGGTTACTGTCAAAGGTAAGCTCAGGGACTGGTGGAACAATTCCTGGTCCCACAAACCCACTCTCTCCTTCACAGATGCATGCATGCACTCTACCGCAGGAGGAAAGTCCCCGATGTGAGCGCATGGGTGAAGTATAGCTCTCGTGTCAGTCTACCTCATTGCTTCTGCAGGCTTGGCCACTGAGCCTCCTGCTCAGTTTGCTCATCTGTGAAATGGGAATGATAGTACTACCTCAACGCTGTGAGACATTAATGCAAATTACAGCCAAATGCACTTAGTAGCTTTGGATACACGTTAGTAAGATCAACAGCGGCGTCCACTCCTTCTTGGAGGGCTCTGATATCTGCTGAGGAGAAATCTAAATCTGCATGTGAGCACCAAGGAGGAGAGAGAACCTTGTCTGACCATAGAGGTCAGAATGCAGTGACATCCTCAAGGCATGTGTTCCACTGGCTGATTCTGGTTTCAGCTGGGCTCTGAGCTGTGCTGAGCTGAGTAGAGCTGAGTGGAGCGGAGCAGATACAGGCCTTTCTGCAACCATCAAAGGAGCACATAGGGCTCCAACCTTTGCTCTACAGCTTCCTGAGAGGCCTCTGCTGGTCACTTACCTGGTCCAAGTTGCATTTTCCTTTTCCAGAATCCAGGCTCACACTGCCTAAAGCATGCAGCTCTGTAAGAAGTGGCTGAGGTGGTCCGAGTGAATGTGGTGGCCTTGGTCAGAGAGAGGCTTAACTCTTCTGTCCATCTGTCCAGTAATCTGGTCTGCTCATCATCCAGGGCTCAGGGACACATCCCCAAAGTGACTGAGCATGGGACTTGGATTCAGCCCCAGCTCTCGGGATAATGAGGCCTCAGGAGCTCCACCACGGCAACTTGGTCACATGCCTTCACCCACCCAACAAACGCCATGGAGCAAGGCCAGTCTGTAGCTCAAAAGACCCAGAACAATGGAAACTGGACAAAATCACTGGCCCCATGTGTCCCTTGCTCTATTTGCCAGGAAATGTGACATGGATGCATCTCATTCTCTTCTCTGGGCGGTTGGCACAGGCCCCTGACCCATGCTCCTCAAACATTACCTGTTGACGAAGGGACAGGTAGCTACTTTGTCTTGTCCAGAATTAGGTGTCAGAAGTAGCCATCATTTCCAAACATGATATGAGGTCAAAAATGTCTCTGTCTCATGGTATGGACACCAGTGAAAGATGTGACTTCTGCTTTTCAGCCAGAACTGGACCCTGAGAGGCTGTATCTTGGTCAGAGAAGCCCGTCACCCTCATGACTGTTTTGGGGGCTATGAAATGGGGATGATGAGGATGATGGTGGTGCCTCACTGAGTGATCCCTGAACACACAAGCCATTTTCACAGTAAGTCCCTCCCTTACTAGGGCATGGCACACGGTAATAACTGTTCGTATCACCCACAGTCAAGAAGAGAGATGAATAGGCACTTTCTAGCTCTGTAGGCTAATTTGCCCTCTACTAATGTGTTCAGGAGTCAAGATTCAAGAGTCATGGCTTGGGCTTTTCTGGGTGGAAATGTGTGATAGTCCTGTGACCTGGATTTAGTGTTCAGCAGAGGGACACAGGGGCAGAGACTAATGCTGACCCCTTCACAGTGGACCTTCCTGCTTTAAATACCAGAAATAAAAGAGAAGAAAAGAAAGAAAAGAGGCTTTCTGCATTGGAGATGCATAGCTCTGTGTTTCAGGATTTACCATGCTCTTTCAACATCACACCAGATCATCAATTGCTCTACCATTTTCAGTTTCAAGGGTGTCTAATAGCTCTTAGAGGAGGCAAAGTTAGGCTGGCCACTGAGTCTGCCTCTGTGGAGTCTTGGTGATATAGGAAGACTGTTTTAGAACAGTACCAGAATGGCCTTGCTCCATTTAAACGGAAGGTATAGACCCCAAAGGAGAAGCCATCAGTTGTATCCCCAGTGAAATCGCCTTGGTTTTATGGGAAGTGTACCTTGGAGGGAGTAGCTTTGTTAATAGCAACAATAATAATAGTTCACGATGATAATGACTGAGCCTTTAAATGTGCTGGGCCTTACAAACAAGAAGCAAATAAGACACCATCTTAAAAAAAAAAAAAAAGACACCCTCTGCACCCTCAAGGACTTCGCAAACTAGTAAAGGGCAGGGACATGGGCAGGGCTGAACAAGCAGTGTGACTTGTGTTGGAGAAGTCATCATGGAGGGAGGAAGGACTGGCTCCAAGAAATTGGGCTGCAGGAATTGCCCAGGGATGAGGAAGACAGAGGCAGCTCCATGTACAATGGCACAAGATGGGGAGAGAGCAGGCCATCAAGAATCAGTTCCTAATTCCCGTGGTGTGTGGGCGAGGCTAACAGCCAGGAGAAGGCGTGGACAAGCCTAGAGGCAGCCAGGGTCAGAGCCTCAATCCTGGCCTCTGGCAGTGCTCTGTGGGCTGCACAGCTGGCACCTAGGCCCTGCTTGCAGCTCCAGCTGCCCTTCCATACCAGGGAACACCCTACAAAGGAGTGTGGCTCTGCAAAGCTGTGAAGCCAACCTCCAGTGGTGTGATTACATAAACCCTAGAAAACATCCAGTCAGAATGCTGATGAGACCAGGCAGGGGTCCGTCCCGAGTACAACCCATCCTCCCATTAATCATCAGATAATGCACACCGACGCCATGAGCTTTACTTGCTCTGGTCTCCCTCGGCAGAGGACTTGGACCTTGTGTTCTATGTGGGTTTGATAACTGCCAACACAAACCTAGCCTGATTCAAGCCTCAGGAAATGAAGGGTCTTTGGGGCTTCCCCACATCTAATAAGGTGCTTTTTGGCAAAATGCCTCCCAACACTCACCCTCTGGCTTAACCCAAAATGAGGGGTCACTTTAGGATAAAACCAACTCACCGCCATAAATTTAATGGAAGTGAAAATGGCTCTTTATGAAGATGTCAGCAGCTTTTCTCTGGGTCAGGTGTAAGGCCTGTGGTCTGGTCCCGAACCTCCTGGGTTTGCAACTCACCTGACATGTAGCCATGGACAATTACTAAGTGCACTGAGCTCTGGGTTCTTTGTATGAAATACAGGGAAAAGGAAGGCCTTCTTCATAGGCTTGCTGTGAAAATTAAGTGAGACTGCTATTTATATGTGATCCCGTGCTAGCTTTTGCTTCCACAACAGTTCTATTTCTCTTTACATGTGGTTTTGATGCCCAAGAGAGTGGCACATTCAGCCATCAGCAGAAGGGGCAGAAGAAAAGGGTGCTGATGGCTAATGAGATGCTGCAGACTCTTTTCTTGTGGAAACAAAGGCACCTTTTGTTTCCAGTAGGGTCAAAATGTTTGCTTGACAATCCTGGACTACAGACAAAAGCAAGATTGATATCCTGGATGACTGTCTGTATGGTCAAGTTCAGATACATAATGCTATCAGGGACTTTGTACCAGACAGCCACGTGGGAGGTGCTTTGGCCCCTGGCACATCCTTTCTGGGCCTGCTTTAGCCAGGTTCACATGGTGTCACTATCACGAACATAACATGCACCAGGAAGCTTGTGGTAGGAAGAAACTGGGTCTCTAGAATCTATAAGATGTTCATTCGCCAGGAGCTGCAGGTGGTGTCTAAGATTTTAACCCATTTACTTTTTGACAAGTGAAATCACTAAGTGCAGGACTCTGGACAAAGTTGGTCTACTTTTCTAGACTTTAGTTTTTCTCCGCTGTAGAAACAGAAGATTGGCCTAGATTTACATTGATTATAACTGGTATCCGTGTAACAAACAAACACAAACCTAGTCCTTCCATGACAAGCTGGGACAAAGGCCTCTCCTGGCCCATGGGGGTGAGGCAGGGTTTGAAATGAGTGGGATGTTTAGGGGATGTTTGTATTCATCAGAGGATGCTTTTGATTCCAAGCTTCAGAACTGAAAAGCCCAGGACACTTGGAAAGGACAATGGCTTTGGGCCTCTTGGTCCAAGAACTCTTTGAACACCCACCAGGCTGTCCGCAACAATTGTGATTGGCTAACTGGCCTCTGGCACAGATGGTATGGGTGCTGGTCTGCAGAGATGCGTGCCCCACAGCAGCTGAGGGAGGGTCAGAATGCCCCTTGCATCTCATCATCTTTCTTCAAATGCCTCTGGGAAGAGAAATAAGCACTTTGTATAATGAGGAAAATAACAACCATAGTCATAATAATGAGAAAAGCCAAATAAGCACATGTAAGTGCATTTTTTTTCTTCGAGATTTATTTTTGTTTGATGAATCTGACACCAGTCAGGGAGAGAGGAGAATGTTGTGGCCCAGCAGGAAAATGGGCACCCAGAGGGGGGCTGCTGCTTCCTGCTTTGGTGATTTGGGTGATGTTGTTGGGGTTGGTTGATTGGTTGTGGATGTTTTTTTCTTTTGTTCATGTTTATAAATCTCTCCCAGGCCTTGCGAGCTTTCCCTCCCTCCCGCCTCCCTTCCCCTGCCCCCAAATTTCATTTTTAAAAAGCGAGCTTGCTCGCCAGGTGTGTCCCCCAAGCTCTCGCAGCTCTAATAAATAAGGAGCACCTGTAAAACAGTAGCTTGACTTGTTAAGTGACTGTACAAAGGAGAATATAGAAATACAGTATGTACACGCATCCATGGCCCCAGTGGCGCAAGGTCGATGTGACTCACCAGGGACCTGCCCTCCCACGGTGAACTGCCCAGGCTCCACAGCCGGGGGTGGGGGGGGGGGGGTACCTGGACCCCTCCAGAGGGAACAATTGCTTTTGAGTTAGTAAACAGATACACTGAATCACAAGGTGATTTTTTTAAAGTTTTCTTCTCTCTCTCTTTCTCTCGCTCGCTCTCCTTTTTTTTTTTTTCTTAATTTTTTCTTTTTTTTTCTCTGTACTCATCAGACTGGGGTACTCCACAACTGTCTCACCAACTCAGTGCCAGTACACATGCTCTAGAGGACTCTGGACTTGCAGCTACGACTGTACAAGTGCACACAAGTAAATCTACCCTGTTATCCTCCACCCACTGATTGAGGATCCAATTGCACATTTCTCTTAACCATGACAGGAGAAAGCAAACAGTGAAACAGAATCACAGGCAATCTTTCTCACTTTCTCTCGTTTTTCATTGGTGTGTCCATACCATTCTAATTATCACGAAAGGGCTCTGGTAGAGAGAGATTGTCTCACTGACTTCCTGGATCACCGAAAACCATCATGGTTGAAATTTCATCTGAGTCTTTCGTGTCGCCCAGCAAATATTCCCCCCTCGGATTATTTTACACCTTGAGGGTATTTTGGTCTTCAGTTCAACACTCTTGCTCTGTTCCCAAATGGGGCGCTATTTAGGGGAATTTCAAGAGAAAGCTGAGAAGAATAAACATTTACCGAGTTCTCTTGGCATTCAGTCTCTAAAAAAAACCACAGTATAAACTATCCATGCTGCTTCTTACATCTGTCAAATCGAAAATTAAAAGCCATAAAAGTGTAACACTGAAAATATGGCATCAAAAAGGAGAAAGGTGGCCTTTGTAAAAATAACAAGAAAAGTATATTAGCCAATAAAATATTCTAACTCTTCATTTAAAAGTGCATCCTGGGCTGGACAGAGATGAATCTGAAGTATCAGGACTCCAACACCATCCCTCCCCACCATCAAAACGTGAACAGCATCGGTCCAAAACCATACAATGCAAATCACAATTTTTAGTGTAGCAGCAAAACCACAGCAGTTTTTAAAAAGATTTAAAAAAAAGATTTTTCTTTTCCAATCCGTATCATCTTCCAGGAGTCTTGAAGATGGGGCGGGGAGAATACCTACATTGGTCCTTGTGGCTTGTTGGTGTTTTGTTGTGTTGTGTGTGTTTTTTTTTTTTTTTAAACCAGGGCGAAATCCCTAAGTTCCTCTGGGGAGAAGCAGAGCTGATGGCAGCAGGAAGGCTGGGCCTGCTTGCTGGGTCCAAGACGTGCTGGCTTCTCTGGGCTGGAGGCCACCGAGGGAGGGCTGCTTCCTCTGAGATGCTTAATGACAGGAAGCGGCTTTATTTGCTTGACTTTTAGCCAGAGGGGGTGGTGAGCTGACCAGCTGGTGTCATTGGATGGCGTGTCATGGTTTACTCCGCACCCTCTCCATGCAAGGTACCCTGGGAATGCTCATTCCTGGGAAAAGAGAAAGGGCCATCAGAATGTACTGGGCCAAGTCTTCTGTTGCCCCCCCATTCCTTGCCCAGCTGAGGGAAGCTTGGCCTGAGCCAGGGAGTACCCCTCCCCAACCAACAAGAACCCCTACAACAAAGGCAAGGCAACATAGCGTGATTTCAACATGACTTTCATTCATGGCCTGCTCTGGACAGTCCTGCCAGCTTTGTGTGAGGAAATGAAACCTGAACCCTCTTTGGAATACCATAATGACAGGCTGGGCCACGCCCTCAACAAAGACCACAGCATCCTTTACCACTCAGTCCCCAGGACTGCAGGCTTAACCAGTGCATAGTCTTGCTAGTCCCCAAGGTCACTCTATAGCCAGTCAAGGACACTCCCCTACTCCCACTCCCATGCCTGAGTTCCAGACCATACCCTGGCACTCCATGTTGCAGATCTGGTATTTTTTGTGTTTAAAAAAGACCAAGAGATTCACTTTGTAGCAAAGAAAAAGTTACAGTGGATACCATAGGACTTTCTTTACAAGATTCCTGCAGAGGTGATTAAGCTGGGAGAAAGGCTTGTCTCTCTCTGTAGATCTTACCTGTTAAAGGTGAATCATATCCATCCATTCACAACCAAATCAAACAGGAGTACAGGACTAGAGGACAATAAACCAGACAGGCCTCATGTGATCAAGGGAAGAAGGTGTAAATAGATTGTTTCAAATCTGTTTTGGGGAGCACTTGTCTCCACATTCACCATAGACCTGAGGCTCTGCCTTTTTGTCCTTACTGGTTTGATTTACAACCAGAACCTTAGTCTGAAATACAGCCTCCTTAGGACCATTGGGGATTCCTAGGAAGCAACCACCTGGAAGTCTGCCCAATGAACTGTGAGATCCCTGAGGTCTGGGACTGCAGTGTCTTGCATATTGTCAGGGAATCAGGAGTCCAGACCCTCACAGGTGCTTGACACACGCTGGCAAAATAAATCAGAGCTCTTTTCCATGATGTCCTCCACCCTTTTTTTCCCTTTCCAGCCAATAAATAGGGAATCAGAAATGTGAATGGGTGATATGTGAGGTAAACATCTTTACAACTATTCAGAACACTGAGCAATCATTTCAGAAAGGCGATAGAATTTAGGACTTGAAGGGACCCCAGAGACAAGAGACTACACTTTCCCTCATTTTAGAGGGTCTGGAAACTGGCTCAGGGTGTTTGTAACATGAATTTAGCACATGAGAGAGGAGGTCAAATGCCCATTGGGAGGGACTAAGTAGAAGCTTGTGTTTTGAACCCTGCTATCCAAATCCTGGTGTTAACGACAACGATAATAATCATCAGCCAAAAACAAGGCTTGAAAATCTCAATGTGCACGACAGGAAATGCCTGAGTTCCCCAAATCACATTAAATCACCAGATCAGTGTGCATTTAATATGTATATTAAATAACCAAAGTGAAAATGCAAAACACCACAAATATGCGTTGGGGGTGGAATTACAAGGCCATAGAAACCTTTCCATTTGGCATGGTCAGACTTACTTGGAGATGGGGGTATTTATCTCTGAATAAAGAACTCCAGTGCTCTCTCTCTTTCTCTATGTATATCTTTTGAGAATGAAGGACAAAGAAAGAAGAGATAGAAAAACAAAGCCATCATGAGACAAAAGATGAGAAAAGAGATGCAGAAATGACAGCTGGGTGGAAGACATATGGGTAGCTTCTTCTGGAGCTAAGTTTCTGCAGAGGGAGGGAATTCATCCCCACCTCCGGGCCTGAGACCAAGAGTGACCACATCTTGGAGTCCAAAGGGGCCTCCAAATTCTTTCTTTAAAAGGGAAGATGGGGGGAAAAAAGGTGTTTAACATTTTCTTCCAGTGATTGGGAAACAACACCATTTTTAATTGCTCACTTAAAAAGTGCCATTGCTTTTCCAATGAGCTTTTTTTTTTTTTTTAATGTAATACTACCAAAAGGAAAAAAAAAAGAGTATCTCTCAGATAAGTTTCTTTGTATTCAAATCACCTTTGGACAAAGGCCAAACATGTCCAGCATAATCCTGCTTGGAAAAAAATTTCCAGGCTTTCATAAGAGGCTGGGAAAACGGGATTATAATAAGAGCCATTCTGGAACCTTAACTACAGCGTTTGCCATCCCAAACACTATAATAATCATTATTATTCTCTGGTATCTATTATTGTCTGGTAAATAATATGTGTTTTCCCCAAAAGTTCTAAAGGGTGCAGCTGCACGCCGCTCTATTTTTTGCAGCCCCACTCCCCAAAGCCTCCTCACACAGAGCTTATTTTAAGAGAACCACAGAGTAGACCATTTGTGCCCATCCTTTCCTCTCACTGTAAACTTGCCATGCCTGGGACATTCCCGAAGGCCAGATGGTGGCAGTACAAGCCCCTTTCTGCTGGGAACTTTTGAGGAGGGGGGTAGTTCTGAAGCCAGCCTCCTCAGTTCTACTGGTTCTGGCAGGTTCAGGGTGGTCTCCTTGTCGGTGACAGGGACAGAGACTTCAGAATCAGTAACCGACAAGGAGACCGAAGCTTGGGCTACACTTCCTTGATATTTGTGATGGGATCAATGGAAACCAACAAGACAGAGAGGAAGTGACCTTTGGGCTTCAGGAAGTTGGTCTTGGCACCTGCCACCCAGAGGGGCTCTATGGAAACACGCGCCCTCTCCACTTCAGTGTCCTCACCTGTACAAAAAGCAAGTGACTCCAGGGAGACAGACGAGAGTCCAAGCCCAGCATGCCCCTCACTGCGTGACCTCAGGCCCATTCCTTCCTGACCTCTCCCCAAGTCCTCTCCCTGAAATGTGGGCTTGGGTGAGGCTTCCAATGATATCTTCCATGTTCCACGTGCTGTGGAACATGGGGCTCTGACAAAAGCCCCTACCTATCAAATATGTAGTATCATCAGTTTGGGCAGCTAGATATTAATATGTTGCCAATATATAAAGAAGTTTACTAATGTCTGGATTTTTGAGCCCAACATTTCACTTCATTTTGTCTATTGATCTGACATGAGCACACATATGCTCATATCCTCTCTCTCTCACACACACACATACACACACATTCAGATATCTCTAGGAGAGAATTTTGGGGGGGCCCCTGGATGCAAGAGGCAGGATAACTCACCTCTGATGCATACATAATCCCATGCAAACAAGCCCATATCTTGTACCATGCATATGCCATATATAAGACTAATACCACTATGCATGGTCTTTATGGGGCACAGGTGGTCAACTGTCTTCAGAATTCCAGGTCTGCCTACCCCTTTTGGCCAGAGGAATGACATGCCCTCTTAAGAAATTATCAGCACACAAGAGTGCTGAGTATTTTCCCATTCCATCAGGGAAGCATTGCTAAGAATGTGATTTTCTTATTCAGCTTACTTTATCACAAAGATTGCCCAGAGAACAAAAGTGTACCTGTGAATTGATAAAAAAAAAAAAAAAAAAAATTCTGTAAAATATCCAAGAAACCAGCTCCCAAAGTAAATGTAGATACTGAGAACAAATAACATCCTACAACCCAACCTAGACCTTCTGTGATGTGATACCACCTCTACCTAGAAGCTTGCCTCTGTCAATCTATTCCATGTCCTACCTTTTACTGCCTTTCTCAACCACATTAGTGATTTGCATCATCAAGATCTGGTAGGTCTGTCTTGTCTCCCACATTCAGAAGGCAAGCTCCCTTGTTTATCATATTTACTCCCAGGAGTCTAAAACCCTGTGGCATCAACTCTATCAATTCAAGAAATGCTTGTTGCCAAGTGAACTTGCCTTTGTCCAATTACCCCAGTCCTAGCAGAGATCCACTCAGTTGGGCACGACTGCCCATCACTTATCACAGTTAAATACAGCTATTACGTGCTGGCTGTGGCAACGCTGTTTATCTAGGACAATAACGAGTCCCTGAGGACGAGACTACTCTCAGGTAGCCACAGCTATTCTAGGACACTTACAAGGGCAGAGCCCCATGGTCAATGAACAGAGCCGCCTGCAGCAGCTGATAAACCCTGAGTGTGATGCCAGATAGTGGTCCCCCACTAAGTCCATCCAGGGAGGGTACAGCTTTGCCAAAAGGTGCTTCTCACTTCCTTGCCAACCATTGCTTTAGGAAGAGTTTTGAAATGGCTTTGAACAGAATGGAAACATTTTACTTTTGCAGTAAATGACATCTTCTTGTTTGTTTAGGTTCTGGGTTTCAACTCAAAGCCTTGTGCTTACAAGGCAGGTGCTCTATCACTTGAGTCACAACCCCAGTCCTTTTTGCTTCAAGTATTTTTCACAGAGGCAGGCATTTATGCCCAGGCTTGCCTAGATCTTGATCCTGCTATTTACATTTTCTGAGTAGCTAAGATGACAGGCATGTTCAAGCGTTCCCAACTTTTTCAAAGAATCTCACAAATGTTTTGCCCAGGATGGCTTAAAACTACCATCTTCCTGATCTCAGCCTCCTAAGTAGTTATGATTATAGGTGTAAGCCACCATACCATCAGCACCTCTATGCTTAGAGTTCATTAATTAATGCAAATGATTGAAGAATAGCCCTTCTTTCTAGTATGCTGTGATAGGAAGTGATCCCTGGTAATGAGAGGGTGAGGGGCTGAGGGAAGCTTCTGGTTGGCTTGGGGCAGGGCTCTGTCTGAATTGCAGCTTTGTCTCCATGGTGCCACTCATCCTGTGGCACTGATAAGCCAAGGCTCATGCATATTTAAGAACTGTTTAACCACATATAAGGCTTTGCTTAATACTTTTTTTTTTAGAAAGTTTGCTCCTTTAGCTATTTCTCATTTTATTCTTTAATCACAACCATACAAGACCCCTCCCCACTGTTATAACTATCTTTAATTTGTTTTACACATGAAATTTTTGTTTTTCTTTGCTTAATTGGTTCTGTATGGTATATGGAGAGGCCTGAATGTCCCAACAAGTGGTCATTGCTATTTCTTAGTGGCCTCTACAAGTTCCTGAGTGACAAAAGA